ACGCGTTATGACCTCCATCAGCTTAGGAAAAAGTGCTTCCTTTGGAGGAAATGATTGACAGTCATTAGATCATAAGGACGTTCTCAATTTACCTTGAAAAAATGTACAGCCATCGGTATCTAAGTGCAACATATATTATTCGCTACGAAGTGCTCAAAGCTACGCTATTCATTAATAAATGATTCCTGAGAGATTGTAGTGGGTCGTGCCTGGCCGACTAGCTCGCGTCGAAGTGCACTCTCCCAAAGGCTCACCGACGCGGTTTTCGCCATCTCGATCAGCCAGTCACAGTTCCCGCATCCAAGCGGTTTGAGCCAAGTGACGAATAGCAAGCTTGCACGCCTTCCCGACACAAGCTGCTTTCTCGCCCAAAATATCCAGGCCAACCTAGCCAATGGACGCGCTCTCTCTGTCTTCTGGCCGGATTGCTGCTAAGACCTCACTTGGACTGCGGCTGGCTCTCCTGCCGGTTGTAGGCTCGCCAAGTCAGACTTCCTCTATCTATTCTTCTTTCCTTTGTGTACACAATAAACTCTTCCTACTACTCTGGCCTTTATCGACTTCTCTTCAACTAAATAACCATGGTCTGAAGATCGCAGTTGCTGGGTTTAACTCACTTAATCCCTGCGATAAGATACTAGAGAAACATGCTTTAATTTAAAGGTAGCATCCACATTTTTAGCAAAAATTGCTCCATTCACTGACACGACGGGATAAATTAACAAAGTACTCAAAAACTACAGGCTTATATAAAATAAAAATCTGTTATGGAGACGGGTCAACCCTCAGCTTCTGGATTTTCGTGAGGTAGCGTGCGAGAAATGACAGTACAGAATGCTGATATGCTGATTTACGGCAGGACATATATAAATCGCTTATTATCGTCTGTAATCTCGACGGATGAATTGACAGTAATATCAGTTCAGATGTTCGGGGCAACAATCCGTGCGTAACGTAGACTTTCACCGTAGAACATATAGTCACCGGTCGATCTCACCAAATGTCAACTAAAACTCGGATGTACAGTAAGTTATCCATAACACGTAGTGTCGTGATCAGAATATGAGCCAATAGTTTTGCAGTGTATGGGTAACAGTAGAACACGGCGTTGGCGAAAGGCTAATTCAGGGTTTCAAACAGCTTATTTCAATAACCAATACTTTGCGAACGTTAATAAAAATGGCCCAATGGTGCTCAATTAACCGCAATCTTCGATAATATATTAACTCCATATTATTTCTAAATTAACTCTAAAAATACATGACATAGAGATGAAATGAAGTTGATATAGTCGACGACTGTAGCCTAGAGGCTATTTTGATATCAACTCTAGACCATCTCCATAGCGTATCTTTATAGATTTGATATAGAGATAGTAGGGAGTTGAAGATTGTGTTAAATTGGGCACTATTGGGCAATTTGATATATCGCGCGCAAATATTCGGTTATTTGGTTATTCAATTAGTTATTTTCGTCTTCTATACGTTCTAGTTTTTAATTAGTTTTTATTTTTCCTGATATGCCGCACCAATTTAACCCTTATAACCACAGGTTCCGTATTGCATAAGGATGGGGATTTCGCGTGCTGTTGTGGACCCGTAAGTGAAATTTTATCACTGTGGCAAATTTAGACGACAACGCTGCAAAAACTAATTTGCTCTTTTAATCGAATTCGTTTGACTGCAGTGTGCTGTGCTGCTAGTTGGCAACCGATATCAAAATGACCATTGTGCAATTACTTGGCAGGGGAAGTTGCCACGTTGCATATCGTGAACTCTCTTCCCCCACAATGGCGCATGAGTAATCGTCACTTGCGCCATCTAACTGGCTCTGTAGGTTGGTAATTAGTGGGGCCTGAGCGTGAACTGCTACCGTCTGAGTAAACAATCAGAATTTAGAAAGCGTTGCAGGGTGAGACACGAAATTCATGGATTTTGAAACGGGAGACTCGCAAACAGACAATTGATATAATGACCCCCCTTAGTTGTCAGATCATGTGAGCTTGTTAACCTCAGCATACTGGAAAAACATCATTATCAGATAAAAGTAGTGCAAACGTTTCCTCAGAGTGTTTAAATTTGCCCTACATTATCAGCTAAAGCCAACAGTTTACTGACAGACTTAATTTCTAGTCAGGTGAACACAGGCACCATTGCTCAAACGACGAGGTCACTATTTCAACCAAAGTTTTTGCGAAATAGGTCCCAATTAATGTGGAACATTCATTTCGACATAACTGTCATGGTTCAAAGCGAGGGTGCCTTAGTCGTCAAAATGACGGTCGGAAACAGAGGGTCCCCCAAGTCAGAAGACAGGTAAGACTATCGCAATGCGTTAAGGCTACTACGGTTTAACCCTAACGACTGCGAACTTCCAGGCCCGGTTCCTTAGGAGATGAGAGAAGCTTTGGAAAGCCAGAGGCGTAGGAACAATATATTTTTTGCAGAATGAGTTGAGGAATAGTTCATAGGAAGGTTGACTCGGTCTGGCGTGCCTTCGACCGTGAGAG